CAGAATAAGGTGTGTGTAGGTAATGAGTAATTGAACTGCAGTCAGAGAGAGACGTATTGTTGAAGTTAACGTTCGTTGTTATAGCATTTGTTTTAGCGCGATTGTTGAAATGAAGTGTATCGTAAAGTTATATTCGGAAAGAATAAACCAGTTTTATTAAGTAAGGACTTGTGTCGCTAAAGTTTCGTCGGAACGAAGTTACGGAAAGTTAATTAACAAACGGAGACGTAACAAGTGCAATAGTAGGAACAGTGTATGCAACTTCTTGGAGAACATATTTAAGTCATGGCTTAATGAAAAATATTTCTAGTCATTGTTTATCGATTGACACATAATAAAAAAAACAATATTTAATGAAATTTACAAAAAAATAATTTGATGCAAGTTAACATCAATAAGTTCATCTCTGTTTGTAAGTAAAGTACTGAACATTCTCTTATTTATCTTTTTTCAGAAATATCAATCCATTTTGCTGGTGTAGTATTTTTTGTAATTTTTAAAGTTTTCTTAACCTTTATAGAGTTGTTGAAAGGATGTTCCATATGTGTTTTTTGAGATTGGTAAATAATGTTCTAAAAATATACCCTATTGGAAAAACTTAGAACTTACATATGTAATTTGATCTTAAAATGGCAAATCACATTAAATAATTTGTTTTTTAAAGAGATGTGAACTACAAAATACAAAAAATGTACTAAAGATAATTCACATTAACTCTCACAGCTAGCTCTTAGTTCAAAATTTTCAGTTTGTCATCAATGGCAGTGTTATAAACTCCATACTCACAGAGATAATTTTACAACCATTTCAGTATTAGTACCACTGGACAAACAAGTTATTCAGCAGTAATTAAGATCCACTGTAAGAAGGCAAATAGTAATGCTTTCACACAAAAAGAGACTGATTGAATAACAAAAAGCAAATATTAAAAAAAAGGAAAGGTGAAGGACCAAAATCACATGAAGATAAAGACTTTAAACTAAATAGTGCTCAACTTGTGAAACATGAACTTCAAAAGATACCATGAAAATACAGTCAAATATCTTGAAATATTAAATATGCAATCCACAGCTAATCACAAAATTATTCTACACAAGAAAATATGTTTCATATCTATGAGAAAAGTAAGTGGTGAATCAACTCAACTGTTGGATCAATTCAATATTTAGATGAATAAATTTGTAACAATAATTCTAGAAATAATGTTGGATAAATACTTTAAAGATTTCTTTTCTTTTCCAAAAGAGATGAAATTGAAAAGAGAATCTGTGACAGAGGCCTAATGCATTCTTTAATTGGCTGTACACTCTGCTGTGTACTGAAGTTTCATCTATTCAAGGCTCATCATGTGGTGAAGTAAAATGGATTCAAAACACCATAAATGTTGGATAGGTTTGTACCTTCTTTCATTATGAAAGAGTACAGTGTGAGTACAAACAAAATTGTCAATTGTTTTTCAAACCTAGTACAAATATAAAGCTATATTGAAAGACATTTTCCATCATCATCATCATAGCTGGGCTGATGGCAGTTGAAATAATTTGAAACTGAAGTCCAGAGATGATCAAAACATGAAGTTATCCAACAAGAGCAAATGTCAGTGGTTACTTTAACACAAATATTTGCATACTAGATACAAATAAATTGCTTAGAAAGAAGACATTTTTTATGCAGTAGGAATAAAAATGGAAATGGGAAGTAATAATAATAATAATTATTGATAACTTCATTTGATAAACATGGTTTTAATGCTCTTTAAAGTGTATATTAATAATGCGGATATTTTCCACTGTGTTAAAGTGATTAACTTTTGCTTTTGATATTCATTTTTCACTCTTTTAACTGTTTTTTAAGTTTTTAAAGATTATTTCTGATTAAGTATTACTGAATGTAAATATTCATGAAGATATGGTGTTATTTAATTTGTAATTTAGTTCTGAGAACATTATTTTAAATTGATCACAAAACAAGTTCTATAACTGAAACAATCTAAACATCACCACTCAGTATTTGCTTTTTATTTAAATCTGAATTGAAATTTAAATTCAAGTATTTAGAAATGAAAAATATAAGACCAGTTACACAATTCATATTAGTTAAATTTGATAAAGCTTTATTTGAAATTAATAACAAAGGTAATATTTTTCAAAATCAGTTAAAAATCTGTCAAGGTAATTCTTATGAAAACAATAGTTTTACAAGTTACAAATGAAACTCAATAGACATCAATTTTAAATTTTAATTATGCATATATTGTTTTTCTAGGAGCTACAAGTTGTTATTGGCTTAGATTGAAATCTTGTCTGGATTTATATCTATTCATAGCACTTATGAATATTAATGATCGATGTGCAGGTGCTTCGTACATGCATGCTAAAAATTATAAACACAAGGTCAGAGTTTCTTAAAATCAGTGAACAATATATTTGAAATTAATGAAATTACTGAAAATCATATACATCTATCAACTTCTTAGTGTCTAGAAACATGCAAATAATGAATCATCAGCATAATTTATCATTTGGTACATGACAAAGCATAAATCCTGACTGATATATAGTTTAGGGTGACCTCAATTTGACAGCTATCAAATTCAAGCTCAAAGGTCATGGAATTAAGATATAGTCATGTTTACATGATGAATATTATTTATCTGGCAAAATTCCATTTACTTTGTGCAAACAAATAGTAATTAAGTATATGAACATAACTTCTGAAAGACAGGGATAAATTGTTTGGCATATTCATTTTGGAATGCATGGGCAAAAAAGTTAGTGCAACAACTGATGTTTGATATCTATGAGACAGGTAATTCTCAATTAGTTGTATGGAGGTAAATCAGATCACATGTTAGATAATGTGTGATAGTTATGCACAAAAGATTAATATAGAGAAACTAAACAAAAAAATGATATAAATGTAAGGTATACATCAACTTACAGATTTACATTCATAGGCATATGATCATAAAGTAGCAAACAACATATAACAAGTAAGCACACTTTAGTGATTCACTGAGCTCTGTACATATTGTATGCTTAGTTCTATTTTCTGTTTAAGTATTTCTGATGGCCTATGATTAGAGACAGGTTGAAGAGCGCCATCAATCAAAGTACCTGCTAGGCTGAATCCGGGTAAGAGAAAAATTATAAAGCCTCGTGGTATAAGTTTGATTTTTTTTTTTTATATAGCTCTGGAGGTTTGTGCATATATGATGCAGTTGTCAAATTATTGCAGCTCTCCTCACCCCAGCTACAGTGATGATTAGTAATAGTATTCAACAGAGCTTTAAATATTTATAATGAACATGTGTTTTTAACTATACTTTCTTTACTAATGGCTTTAAAATTAAACTGTTCAAACAATTATTCAAGAACACATTTCCTGGAAAGACAGGTAGCTATCACTCATACTACATGCTTGAAACCCACATTGCTAATTTGATTTATGTTAAAATAAGTGTTTTCCAACAGCCAATACCATTGGATGCTTGGATATTCCAAAACTTTCATCACATACTAAATATTTTGTTTTATGAATTGCAGTTACATGATTTTAATGCTGATGTTTGAGGCTATAACTGCATATTGGTTATCTTAAGAGCAATAGGTTATGAACTGTTAATTTACTTTTTCTCCAGAAAAGAAGGGTAATAGGTGATATTACTGAAGTTTACAAGATTATTCAGGATGATTGATGGAATAAAGGTCCCTGATTTCTTTGTGCTATATTATGAAGACAATATGATGAGAAGTTCAAGATTTGGAAAAGACAGGCTAGGCCCCAATTAAGATGGTTTTGTTTTTCTAATAGGGTGGTTAAATTATGGGATAAGTTGCCATCAGCAGTAGTTGAGGTCGCCAACTAACACAAGCTTAGGTGGGAAATCACTGATTGTCTGAAAAATATATAGTGCAAGTTTAATTTTTACTTTCTTTTACTCAGGAAATGAGTGTGCAGGGACACTGTTGAAGGTCCCTTGTTTTTCACATCCAATGTTATGTAAATAACCAAACAGCTAAAATGATAGTAAAATTAATACATTTCATCAATATCTATCTCAATGAGTTTCCATCAAAATGTGGAATGTATTAGAAAAATTAGTTCTACACATAAACATTTCATTATAAGATGCAATACATACTTGAA